GGGTGGGTGGGGCCCAGCCGTGTCCAGAGGAGCTCCTTAGGTCCTCTAGACAGAATCACGCACGCCCATGCCTGCAATTAACTCTGTATTTCTGACACTCCTCAGTGGGAACACAGCAGAACCCATTTCCCCCTCCATTCTAGTGAGTTTCCAGCAGGTGGTCTCCTCTGAATTCTTGGGGGGCATTAGGTGGTGGCTGGTGCACAAATAAGGAGGCTTCCCTTTTCAAGAGCCTAATAGCATCCTCCTTTCTAAAATGCAATGCAAATTAGGAGCCAGGATCCTAGTCAAAGGGGAGTGAGAAAGAAGAAGGAAGGAAAAAGGGGGAGATGGGGAAGGAAAGAGAAAGAGCAACATATGGACTTCCAGGGATTCTGAATATTGGACAACTGATCTTGGGGCTGGACAAAGGTATCCGTCCTGAAGGATATGGGTAATTGTTATTTAGAGGTGGACAAGCCAAGTTTCTGCCCAACTTTTCTCTGCTACCTGCCTGAGGGAGGGTAGCTAGAGTCAAGAAGGCTGCTCTACGTGTGTCCACAAGGACTGAGAGGGAACAGGGGTCAGGAGCAGAGGAGGATACCGTAGTGGAATTTGGGTCTTTCGACCCAGCCTGCCTGATGCCCACCTGCCCGGACTACTGGACCTACTCAGGATCCCTGACTACCCCATCACTCTCCGAGTCCGTCACCTGGATCATTATGTTCCCAAGTCCTCAAATGCTCAGGCCATGGCAGGAAAACCAGTGGTTGTGCCCACTAACAGAATCCACTGAGGTGAAGTACATCTCCCAATACAAAGGGCCTTGTTAGTGTCTCTAGTCTGAGATTGAAACATAAAATATATTTCAAGTGATTTACAAAAAAAATTACCTTATGCTTAATTGATGGCAATATATCCACCAATTTTTGTAGCTCCTTAAGATTCTTGTGTAGCTAAAGAACAATAAATGAGAAAACATTAAAACAATTGACATCTCACTTTGTCATGCAATTGTAATAGAATGTGATTTAAAATCAGACCCCTGGTGATTACCTAAAAACAATCCCCAGTAGTGAAACTACACTTAAACTGACAATTTAGAATGTTATAAACGTCACTGAATGAAAACAGATACAAAACAAATGAATAGGTTGTTTGCTGACAGACTGGAGCCCACAGTCTATAGGGAAAGGTGTCACCTTCTCCATTTGCTCCCCACTCTGAGCCTCACTGGCATTTGGCCTGCAGAAGCTCCAGAGGCTGAAGCTGTCCAGAAACCTCATTGCAGTAACCATGTTTTCCAGTTTCTGTATCTGATTCTTTGATATCTGACATCTTGCTGAAGTAGAAGGGTGGCCCCTCCCAGTGTTAGCTAATTCCTAGAAAGAACAAACAAGTGAGAGTATGCCTTTCATCTGCAAACCAACCAATCCAGAGTCCAGACCCCAGCCACCTCCTTTATAGGGTTCTTAATCTCTGGGTCACTGTTCCTCTGCCCTAATCACCCCAGGGCCTGGGACCAGTCAACTATTGACAGCTTCTCTGCCCCAGAACCCACTGAAATTATTCAAAGCACCCAATCCTAAACCTGCTTATACTGCCTCCCCGATTCTTTCCCATGGACTCCACAATAAAGACTTTCCATGTCTTCTTTTTCTCTCACTGCTTCCTGACCATCCCTGGTGCTTTCCCACGTGGCCCTGGCTGGAGTGCCAAGGCCTCCTATTTTTAGGCATCTGTGAGTATAACAAAATTCTTCCTTCATGACAGTCATTTCCGTGTCTGTGTGTCTTCCCATACCTGATGAAACCAAATCCTGGGTTTCCTTTAAACATTCAATCTCCAGAGTGGACCCAAGCAGGGAGCTTGCAGGAAGCCTTCACCTGCAGAACGTGCAGGAGCTCAGAGGTCCTGTGCAGAGTGTAGTCCCCAGATTTTCAATCTAGTTCTCCAGTTGCTAGTTGTGTGAACTGGCAGGAAAGCACTTATCCTCCTTGAGCTTCACTTTCTTCACCTGAAAAACAGAGATGACACTATTGCTATCAGAGATCTCTTAGGAACATAAACGAAGTGTATAGTCACACAGCACTCATAAATATTACTCCCTTTTATGTTCATTTCCCCTAGTTGTTTGCCTTTATCTTTTTATTCCATTTAAAACTAAACTAAGCTCACATTTTAACCATTATTTATTTAGGGTTATTTGCTTTTATCTTTTTACATTAATGCTTACAAATAGAAATATAATGCCAACCACAGAGGTAATTTTAAAGTTTCTAGGAGTCACATTTAAAAAGATGTTTTAAAAGAGAAATTAATTTTTATAACATATTTCACCAAATATATTGAAAATATGGCCATTCATTTCAACATGTAATCAATATGAAAAATTACTGAGGCAGTTTACACTTTTTCCATACTTCTTTAAAATCTGTTATCTTACATGTATAGTATACATCAATTTGGAAGCTAAATTTTCATTAGAAATACTTGGCTTGTATTTAGATTTCTATGTGGCGTATATTTATATATTAATTATATATTATA